TTTTCCAGGTGAGGAAGGGAACGGCATCACAGAAATCCCTGCGGGATCTTTTGCTATCAGGCTGAGCTTCCTCCAGCCTTGGCAGGTGCAGATCACTGCCCAGAAATGAAAGGCAGGATAAAGTGTGAATATTTCAAATTAGCAAAATCTAGTTAAAAAATTAGTGTTGATAATTTAGTGTAAGTCAGTAACACACGTGACATAAAGAATGATAGAATATATTATTTCAAGGAACATAAAGAGCAGGTCTGAAGCCATTAGTATCTAACTTTGGGTTTTAGGAAAAAAATATTCATCAAGAAAAGCATTCCTATACCATCCCACAGTTTAACAAAATCAAGGGATCCGAGCTCTGAAAGGMAATCGGAATATTCTGACCTCGATATCCAAACTGACAAAATAKTTTTGGGTTACATAGAAAAGATCGAGTCTAAAACATGTACAGTGTTTAAATGCAACAAATCTATGGAACAGCACATGGTTTTCAAATTTCCTATTTAAATTTTTTATTTCCTGAGAGAAAGGCATCTTTCCTGCAAGGAAGAATCCTTCTCCAGTTATCCAACTGAAATTGCTGAGGGAGGAGGGTGTAGGGGGTTAATTTAGATTAATTAATAGATACAAACTATTGTATTGGTGATAAAATACTCATTTTTAGCAAACTAATAATGCACTGGGATAGTCTCACCATGATAAAATATAAAGATTATGGAATTATGGGATGGTTTGGGGTGGGAGGGATCTCAAAAATCATCCCATCCCATCCCACCCGTGCCATGGCAGGGACACCTCCCACTGTCCCAGGCTGCTCCCAGCCCCAATGTCCAGCCTGGCCTTGGGCACTCAAAGGGATCCAGGGGCAGCCACAGATATTTCACAAAACCGACGCTAAATGTCAATTTTATAACTGGAAATGACATTTACACCCATCCCCTACAATTTACCTGATTTTAGTTCTTTTTTTTTTTTTTAATTATCAAGGGGATCACCAAGCTGCAAGGAACAATAAAATACGGAGTAAAGCATTGCGAGTACTTGAWAACCAAATTAAACCCCCCCCCAGTCCCTAAGAGTTTGTCAGTCTCAGCTCATTTGCCCCAAAGTACCATTCCCATCTCCTTCAATTACACCCAGTTTTTCCTTAACTCAGACCTGCATCATCACCATCCACAATTCCCTACAACTAAACCAAGAATTTTCCAATAAAATGAGTTTTCATGCCTGCTACCCAAAATTAGAGCTACAGTGGAGTTTTTTCAAAATTCAGCAATAAGAATCCAGAAAAGTAAAAGGGCATCAAAAATGGAAAATATTTGCTTCAGCAAAGCTTGTAACTGTTTGGAAATTGTTTATTCTAAACTGACATTTTATTTAAATATCAAAGTAAAAGGGGCCCAAAAATGGAAGATATTTTCTTCTGCAAAGGTTTTAACTGTTTAGAAATTGTTTATTCTAAACTGACACTTTATTTAAATATCCTACTCAGCAGTTATGAAAGGAACCTCAGCCCACCTTTCACTTCCACTAAAATTCACTGCTTTTGTGCCAAACTTCTCCTAACAATGGCACTTTGTGCTTCTCAAATATTGGGGAAAAGGGATCTACAATGGCATTTCATACAGAATATAGCCCACGCTGGCTTAGTCACGTGTAAATCGAATTTTCTGCCAACTACAACATTGAAACAGGATCCGAGATAAAGCACAAAACTGAAATTTCTATCTAATTAATTTAATTTTAATGAAATGCTTGTGAAACCATTCAAGGTTTCAAACATTCAAGCCAATTAGGGTGTGCAGAAATATTAGAAATAGAAGGATTTCTTTGTTAATCTCAAATCTTACAAGGATTTCTCCATAATGTAATGCTTGTATTGCTAAAATAATGGTTTCATTTTAAAACCTGCACTCCCAGGGATGCTCTGAGGAGACCCAGAAAGTTTCTGGCAGGGTTACCCTGCTCAGGTGGCTTTGGGATAAACATCTGGGAAGAAAACATTTCTGAAATTCACAGAAAAATTTCCTTTGAGAGAAAAAAATCGAGGTTCTAATGCTTGGGAAGGAATTAAAATTTCAGTCTGAGAAATAAAATTCGCTTTAAAAAACAGAGAGAAAGGACTTTTAACAGCAAATCACAGAAGGAATATTGATCATTTCAACAACATACGACATTGTAACAGAYTTTTATTTTACAATCAGGCTGATGCCATCCAATTCTGACCACCTACAGGTGAATCCCCACCTGGCTGTGACCCCAGGGACAGGACAGCGAGCACCAAACTCGTCCCAGCCTCCCAGCCCCGCCATCTGGACCGCTGCTGAACAATCAAGACATCCCGAATTAAACGGCACARCTTTCCCTCGGCATCTTTAGGACAACACTGTCAAGTCCAATCTATTCCCTCGGCCTCCAGAATCAATTTTTCAAACTTTATGACAGCTCTAATAGTTCCCACCTGTTCCTCCCGCCTGACTTTTGACTGGCACGTTCCCAGCCCGGGTGGAAATCCAGACAAAGGGCCCTATTAGGCTCCGGCTGTTTCTCTACTGTGAGGTTGCTCAGCCATTAAATTAATTCCAGCTCCCCTTTTCCCCTTCCACCTTCTCATTTTTGGGGGGTACAGAGGTTTGGGGGAAGTGGGAAAGGGAGATGAGAGTTTGGCGCCCAATGGAAGCGAGAAAGAGAGACGAAAGTTCGGTGGGAGAGGTCTAAGAAAATGTGAAGTCACAAAAGGTAAATGCTGATTTTTTTTTTTAATCTGCTAATTAAACCATTTACTGCATGCAAATGTAATTCATTAAGCTCTTGAGGTGTCTGTATCGTATTTTTAACCACCAAAACTTGAAAGCGACCCTAAGAGAGTCCATCCTGCAATATATGATTATATGAAGAGTTATAGTTATATATACAGTTATTTATATAAAGAGAGTTTTATAAAAATTATATAAAAGTGTTGCAATGGTTTTCTGGGAATCCTAAAGGATCAAGAAGTAACAATTCTTTTTCTTCAAGCAAAGAAAATTATTTTTCTTAAAATGTTTTCCTTTCATTCAGCACTGGCAATTGGACWCAAACACACCCGAACAAATTCAGATTGGAAGCATCTTAAAAAGCTGACAGCTTTTTCCTTCGATAAAGATTTTTTATAAAAATTACTTGTTTTTGCATTGATTTCTAGAGATTTATGCAAKGTTGTCATTTAAATCTCAGGGTTCTTTGCTGAACTGCAAATCATAAGGATTGCATTATCCTGTTAACCACGACAACAAAGTATTTAGAACATCAACCACAATACTTCAGACAAATATTATAACTTAATAAACAAAGATAAATTTTATAACATTTTCTGTAAGATAAACCTAACCTAAGATAAATTATTAACCAATTAATAATTTCAATTTGAATTTTAATCTGCCTAGGACCATCTGCCCAGCATAACCCACTCAGAGCCAGGAGCTGTGGTTTAGAACTCACCTGAAAATTAACTACTCAAGCCTCATCATGATGGGGGAAAGCTCGAGGACCTACATCTGTAAGCACTTCATGATGTTTGGATTACTCAACAGAAAAAAGCAACATTTAAACATAGGAAAGTAAAGGTTCTACAGTCACTGGAAACCCCAGATCACTTCTCATAGCAGCCTTGCCTCACTTGCTAATTAATCATTCAGAAAYGGGTCAGATTGTGTTTAGCCTGATCCAAATCAAATCACAAAACTCTAAATTAAACATTTCATCGTGCTGAGATGTGGGAATAATGTGACTGAGAACCATCACCAAAACCAACTGTGAGGGAAGAAACCTCTTTATCTATTAAATTATCACCAGTTTCTTACACTYCTTTCAACCCTGTGGGCTGAACATGCTGTGAGCACTAAAAACGAAGATGCAAATGCTAAAAAATAATTTATTTTTATAAAATAACTCTTCGTGGCCTCCTATCAAACCAGGAATTCTCTATATTTCCAAAATCCACTGCAGGATGAGGATGTAAATCTGATTTTCTGAAGTAAATTTGACTGGCAAAATGAGACAACAGCATTTTTTTAATGTGTGGACATTTGCACACGCAGGGAACAGTTTGGAGGTGAAATTCGTATTTGTCCCTAAAATACAATTCAGGTYCTCAGGCTGAGACCTAAAGCCATTATTGCTGGTTAACTCATCAGTTACAATAACACTCGAGACAATTTGACCTTGATTTAAGAAAAAAAAAATCCCAAACAAAATTCCTAAGTTTATTTTTCCCCTGCAAAACTCATCTGCAATTTCTGCGGATGAATTAACCCTGATATTCAAAAGCAGCTGCCATGAGAATTTACAGCTGCAGGTAGAAGCARGCTCAGAGCTTCTGTCCTGAAGAGCAACAGCTTCCCAAAACCAGGTTTTTTCCATCAAATTTCCACAGAAGGCAACAGTACAGTCTTTGTACAGGGGCTGAGATTTAGTAACTGTGATTTTCCTATCACTTAATCCCATTTAAACCCTAATGAACGACCTTCTCAAAGGTATCCCACAGCTCATTCACAAGGCTCAGCTGTGTGATGGTGAAAGAACCTCCACCAGAACCCTAATCCACGCTTTAAAAACCCAAACCAAGCACTGAAGGGCATTTTAGTGAAATACTCAGCAAAAAGAAATGAGAGAAAATGTTAAAATTAGAGGCACAAACCGCTCGGTGTCACCTCAGTCAAATAACAGGCTCAGGAAATAACTTGCACTAAAGAACGTGTTTCATCTCTTAAATAAGAATGTTGATTAAATTAAATGTTCTGATGGTGATGTTGACGAGGAATAAAGATTAAACTCCACCAAACAAAAAGCTGTCATGCTCAGCTTTTCCCACCCCTTATGGTTCAGCATTTTACTCATTATCAATCACCCTGTGAACACAACATTCTCTATTTTGTGTCCAGTTMCTTCCTGGACATTTTGTGTTATCATAATCATGAATTCCCAAAAACAAAGCTGATTTGGGATGGCCTGGATGCCAATCTTACCCATCCAGAAGATTCATGGTGCTGGTGGTGACTTCAGTGAAAAGAAGGATCTTGCCCAGCTTCTTGGTGTGAAGGTTCTGCTGRTATCTTTCCAGGCTGAAATGGCGCGAGGAGAACGCGCCCATCTCGGTGATCACCGGCACCAGCGACGGAGTCACCTCCACTCGGGACTCCCAGGAYGGCACAAACCTCAGGGACACTTTGCTGGATGTCCTCAGCCCTTCAGCGTCCACGTTCCCCTCCAGCCACTTGAGGAAAGCCAGGTGGATTTCCTGCGGGCAAGGGGAASGAGAGAACAAACACAGATCAGCCCATGGGAACACACGTGAATGTTATTCCGAAAGTATTTTTGTTCAAGCGATCGTCCTCTTCAAAACACAAAAATTAACGCCATTTCCTCTTCAAAAAAAATTAAGTTGTGCTGCTTGTTCTAGTCCAGCGTGGCCTGACTGCTTGGCACTGAACTAGAGTCGAGTCCATGCTCCTCTGCAGATTAATTAAGATTAATTTTCCTCTCTAACAGGGYTTTTAGCAATTTTCCTCCATCCTGAGGCATGGAGTGCACACACTGATCTGCATCACGCAGGTTTTCMGCCCAGGTGAAGACACACAAATGTTTTCCCCAAAACCATTTTTGTTCAAGGAATCATCCTCTTCAAAACACAAAAATTAATGCCATTTCCTCTTCAAAAAGTTAAGTTGTGCTGCTTGTTCTAGTCCAGCCTGGCCTGACTGATTGAGACTGAACTAGAGTTGAGYCCATGCTCCTCTGCAGATTAATTAAGATTCATTTTCCTCTCTAACAGGGTTTTTAGTGATTTTCCTCCATCCTGAGGCATGGAGTGCACCTGCATCACACAGGTTTTGCAGCRTGCTGAAGTTCTCTGGTGGAAGGTGCCCTTCAACCCATCACGGAGACTCAATTTAAAAGCTAAACCAGTAGTTAAAAAACTTCAAAATTTTAAAAATTTCAAGCGATTCCTCAGTGGAATATTTCCTAAAAGGGTTCACACCTTCAGCTGAAGGATCACTACTGTTCATACCCAYGGGGTGACACCCTGAAACAATGTCCCACATTTGTTCATTCTGGAAATAACTAATTCCACTCTGAGAGGTTTGGTTTGACATGAAATGTTGCCACAAACTCAGATTCTGGGACTTCTCCTTGCCCCACGTGCAGCTTAAATTCCCAGAAGTTGAAGTTGTCTTTTATATGACAAATGAAACCACCAAAAACTCGTGGTTTTGACTGAAAATAAGGCACCAGTGATCCCTGTCCTTGAATTTCTAAAAGGATGAGATTTGATTTTTAAATAAAAAAGGTTCTAACCAAAACACGCCCCTCCTTCCCATCACTGTCAGATGTGGGAATTGGAATCAGTTCCCACTGACGGCAGGACCGAGCTCTCCTGCCCTCCAACAAGACCTCCCTGAGCTCCATCCCAGCTCTCCAAAACCCACAAACCACAAATGAAGAGCGAATTTCCCGTGACGAGTTATCTCTGCAAGGAATGATTCCTCTTTTCCACACTTTGCTGTTGCACCTGAAGAAGGAAGGAGAGAAGTGCTCCTGTTCCCAACGCCTCCCTCTGGATTTTCCATCCCAGGAATGACGTCCTCTCAAATCTCAYGGGTTTTTCCACCTGTGCTGGATGTGGGGTTTGCAGCCCTGCAGCACCAGTGGCCGAGCAGGGCATGAAAAAAGGAACCAATTTTCCCCAAATTCTGCTTGTTCTAAGCCCCAGAACAATCCAAGAGAGACTCAGCAGTTAAAATTGTTTTGTTAAATTTTAACTAAAGTTAAAAACTTAAATCACTTCTCATTTCTTGCTTTTCTTAATCCCCCTCTGAACATTTTCTGTCTAAATGCTGGATAAAATACGCTTGAAATATTTCCTTTCCCCCATTATTTTTTCTTGCTACGCACCATAAATGATGATGTGACGATGATTAAAGGTTTTGGGAGCTTTTCTCTGACTTGCACCTTCGCTCAGCACAACACCAGGGCTTTGACAGACGAAATAAATTCCTTACACATTATCCTACTTGTTTTACACAGCCACAGYAACTGAGTGGCTGTAAGTGATATTCAGAAAAATTGCAGCTTTCATTTCTGTCAGGGACTACATGGAAAAACCGTGCTTAATCAGGAAGTGTTTTCCTATCGCTTTCCAAACACARAAATTCACTCAGAAGAATCGAGTGTGCAATGGTCAGATGTAAAAACAGAATTTTAACTCACCMAAGGATGGGTTTACACTCCTGCAGAAATTAAGTTACAAAATTAAGATGATTAAAGTGTGATTAYATCGTAAATAAAAAATGGAAGTGTWTGAGGCCCTGTCAGAAATTMCGGTGTGTTTTTGCCACAGAATATTTTCTGCAAAGACCAAAACCAGCCCCTATTTCTGTGGGATGTTCCATTATTACAATTCCAACCGTTCACCCTCCCGAGWGCATTATTTCAGTGATTTTCCCCCRCAGATTTCAGGCAAACCCCTTGATTTCATTGCTTCCGACACTCACTGAACAATTGAAAATTTCCATAGGTGTGTAATTCTCAAGCTGATTTTCCCCCATAATGTCCACAGGCTTATTGATCAAAAATACAAGGAATATGTAATCAAGGATGGGAATTTTTATAAATTCCTAGGAAAACAGGGGTTTAMATTTTTAACATGGTTTCAAGGGCTGGTCACAGTAGCAAAATTAATTTTCACTRCAAGAATTTCCTTTTAAAATATTTWAAAATWATTTAAATTTTTTAAAAATTCCWAAGAAAACAGGGGTTTACATTTTTAACAAAGTTTCAAGGGCTGGTCACAGTAGAAAAATTCATTTTCACTGCAATTAGTTCCTTCACGTGAAATTTCAGGAATGGGATTGCTGAACCAGCGCAGTGTGGTCCCCACGATTATACTGGCACTGAAAAAATAACAYTCTTGTATAAGGAAATAATATATTCTAATATATTTAATATATCCATTGAATATATATATTGAATATGTATAAGTAATATATATATTGAATATATTTAAGATATAGTGAATGTATATATACATAATGAAAAATATATAATATAATGTAATGTAATGTAATGTAATGTAATGTAATGTAATATAATATAATATAATATAATATAATATAATATAATATAATATAAATTTTATATATATTATATATATAATATCTATGTATACATAATGAAAAAAATGGAAAAAAAAATCAAAAATGGGGAAAAAAAGTATGCAGAAATAAAGTCTATAATGTCTCTATTGAAAAGGAACACAACCATGTCAGAACTGTGGGATTTAAAGCCAGGATCCAGCTGGAATTCCCAACCTCTCCTACTCTGAGCGTTCTGCAGCAGCCTCTGGTGGCCACTGGCACGAGAAATGTTGGCTCAGGAACCTCCAGGGCACCCTTGGGAGCAGCCCTGGCATCCAGCACAAGGGCAGGGAACACCCAAAGCGCTGGACACGGCTCTCCCTGGCCATGACCTGAATAAATCCCGGGAGATGCTGCTCCAACCTTTCATTGATTGTGGAATCCCAGGAGCTGCAGCTGCTCCATGCTCAGGCTCTGACAGGATCTGCAGCTCCTCACACACACAGAGTCAGGRAAAATCTGCATTTTCCAACCTGCCAGGGATGTGATTTGGAAATACAATAACTGAACTGGAGGGCTGCACAAATAAATTCTGAAATTGTTATTCGTCAGTTTGGGGTGGGAGAACTGAAGATAAATTTAATTTGATAGAAGTATAGAATGGTTTGGGTTGAAACAGACCTTAAAGCCCATCCAGTGCCACCCGTGCCATGGCAGGGACACCTCCCACTGTCCCAGGCTGCTCCCAGCCCCAATGTCCAGCCTGGCCTTGGGCACTCAAAGGGATCCAGGGGCAGCCACAGCTTCTCTGGGCACCCTGTGCCAGGGCCTGCCCACCCTCCCAATATCTCATTTAATCCTTTCCTCCTTCATCTTAAATYYATTATTTCCTATAAAAATATGGGGGTTTTCTTCAAATCACACTTTTTCCATATACATTCCCTAAGGCAAACACATTCCCTTCTTTCTCACTGAAATTTGACATTGCAACCAACCAAACCATCTCTCAGTGACAAGAGAGCTTTTCACAGTTAAAATATTCAAMTGCAAGTTTCATATGTAAATGGAAGAACATTTTCTAGGCATATTTTAAATGGTAAAAAACATAATTTCAATGCATCATTAAAAAAAAAAAAAATCATCAGAAGTAGGAAAGCACCACACCAACAAAMCTACCCACTGCCTCTCCCTAATAAATGCTTCCCACTCCAAACTCAATTGAAATCCTTTAAAGAGAAGCAAGGAGAGACTGGGAATTCCCAAGCACTGATCTGGCGCCCAGAAGAATTGATTGTCAGACTGAAATGAAATGTTGTTCACTGCATGAAAAGTTATTCTGAGCAGGAAAGGAGACACAGAGGATATTAATTCATAAAATCCACAGAAATACAAAATTCAGCTACTACATACCACAGACCCCCAGCTCCTGTACTCATAAGAACAAACTGCACGTTGTGGGAATTGTAACATCAAGAAGGAAGAGCAAAAGCTGTATTTTGGTTGTGATTTAACATCTGCTTTCTACGATTTTCAGAGTTTGGTCAGGTGCACACACAAACCGCGCCRCAGCAGAAGTTTTCCTTCGCCGTTTTGAAAATTCCTTTTAATTTCATCATCATTAAGTTTCACTCTCCCCTAACGCTCACTCAGAGGTTGGGGGTGAACAACGAGGAGGAAAGAGGGAGACAAAAACCAGCTGCATGTGGAGCCTTCTCTGCTGTGGTATAAAATAACACCAAATTACAGCTCCTGCTGGAGAAGGTTTTATTTGCACCTGGGCTCTGTCAAACAATGAGAGTTATGCGCCGAGCACATAAACTCCCACTTAAAATGGTTCAAAATAACCCCAAATCCAAGACTTTATTCTTACAAGCTGTTTATATTGATAGGATTTGGGTGTACTTTTTTTTTTTTACCTGTACATTCACAGACACACACAGATAAATGCAAATATCTCTCACTGGGCAGATTTGGGAACTGCTCTTTCCTACCAGTGATGGGTTTTAAACTCCCTGTCAATGTAATTCTTTGTTAAGACAAAACTCAGTCCCAGCCTAAATTCATTTGGTTCCTATTAAAAATGTGGAGGTGAAACAAAATGAAAGCTAAAAATGCAAATTTTTTTGCCTAAAGCAAACATTCTACATAAGCTCCCTCCTCTCTC